TTCGCTAGTTTAGCTATAGGTGTAGTTATATAATAGGAAGAAGGAGGTGAGGATACGGCACGCGTACAACTACAATAACAAACTACAGTGGAGATAGACATAGGCCAGATCTTTTGCAAATTACTATATAGGCATACTCCTAGGCGTCCTTTCCGAAGTCCTATGAGCCTGAATTACACAGAATTTACCTGACGTGCACGGGCCAGAAGTGTTGGTCGATAAGGGGACCTCTACACGTGGCGTTTTCCGCAGCGCGTTTGGATTCACTGCAAGACCCCTGCCGTGATCCTGCAGTGGGTCTTTGGACGCCAAGAACCGCTGCGCACTGCATGCGCCAAGCTTCCCGCTTCTGGAGTCCTTGGCGTCTGGGTTCCTCAACGACGACCGGCATCTTTGAGTGGTACTTTTTGCTTGTGAACATGCAACCGCGACGGGAGAGTTTGGGAACCGAGAGTCAATTGGGTTGCTGTCATTCCTTGTAGCTTCTGAAGCTTTGCTGATTTCCTGTCGGCATCTCAGTTGCCTTGATCTGGCGACAAATATCATCGTCGACCCCGCAAGTTCAGCCGGATATCTTGTTGAGCTCCATCTTTTCCATTGTTTCTAAAGCATTCCTTGTACATGCTGCAGCACGGGTTCCATTCACCGCGCATTTGTTTGAGACATGTCTAAGAAAGCACGACAGAGGATCAGCTATGGTTTGTGTCATCCCCGCTTTGTCTGTTCTCTAAACCACATAGTTCTGCAAGTCACAAACTCCCAATGGCGCTCATCTAGAGACGCTCCGCAGTTTATGAGGTGCACCTACCAGTGGCCAGATTCATCGCGCAATTCACCACTCAATTCAACCAGGGTTCAGCCAGGACTTTGTTACTGACTTGAGCACACCCAGTCCTTGAGCTTCCCAACGCTTCACCAGGCGGCCATCGGCTCGGTGTCAATGGCCTCGCCATTGACCGCGACAATGCAATCCTGTGAGAATACATGCCTCTTCTCGGCCTCAGCTCCATTATGCTTACAGGATCTCTAACTGACCGTTTTGTCTCAGATACTCTGGTGGACGTGACGGCGTTGTCTGCGCCTGGAACCTGAACCAGGACCAGGGCAGTGGCAAATCCACCGTCGTCGACACCTCCAGAGCCAACAGCGGCAGGCCAAAGCCAGTTACCACCTTCCGCGCACAGATCCAGGCTCACACGCATTGGATCAACGACATTGCGCTCGCCCAGCAACATACAGCCCTGGTGTCAGCCTCCTCCGACCTCCTGGTCAAGGTATGGCGGCCCCTGGCGAGCGACATGAAGGAGCCAGTCACCATCGGCCAACACGCAGACTTCGCCAAGCGTGTTGCGACACCAAGTCAGTCCACGAGCTGGGTGGCTTCGGGGGGCCTTGACCGGAAACTGTACCTCTGGGATTTGTCAGGGGCCGGCAAGACGCTGGAGATCGACGTGAGCGGCGAGGAAGTGGTTGAGAAGGGGAGTGTGTATGCCCTTGCTGTCACCCACGATATCCTGGCCAACGGCGGCCCCGAGGGCATTGTGCGGCTGTGGGATCCCAGGTCGGGCCAGCGTATCACCAAGTTCGTTGGCCATACCGACGTCATCCGCGACATTCTGATCAGCGAATCCGGTGACATGGTCTTATCGGCCAGCTCGGACCAGACTGTCAAAGTGTGGAGCGTGACCGCGGGCCGCTGCATTCATACCCTCACCATGCATGACAGCAGCGTCTGGGCCTTATTCTCGGACGATCCGCAATTAGGAGTTTTCTACAGTGCTGACCGGTCGGGGCTGGTGGTCAAGACGGACGTCCGCGGGACCTTGGGAGAAATGGACAATGGGTTGTCCCTTGCGATTGCCCAAGAGGATATTGGTGTCAGCAAAGTCGTGGCGTGGAACGGCAGCATATGGACGGCACGGGCTCGCGCTTCGATAAATCGGTGGCGCGATGTGGACACGGGTGAAGGCCTGCAGCTCCCTGAGACATACAAGCAACACCGGGCGTCCATGGTCACGGTACGGAGTAAGGAGAGCTCGGCCCCGGCCGTCGTCGCGCCGATGTCTGGAATGGCCGAGAACGCAAAGACGACCATTCCGGCGAAATCCATTCTGCGGATATCAAACACCGCCTCCTTCCCTCTGGTCATCGGCCGCGCCGGTGACGAAGCTCTCGGGGACTCAGCACAGAGGGAATCCGAGCCGTCCTCCCTGTCTAGCGCGGTGGAGCCGATCCATAGCGTGCCGGAAGAGACCATTGAAGGGCAGTTTGGGCTCGTTAAGCACAAGCTCTTGAACGATAGGAGACGGGTCCTCACTTTGGACACCGCGGGCGATGTCTTGTTGTGGGACTTAATTCAGGTGAGAATAACGATTACTGCCATCTAAGTATCACGCTGACCGTAGCTCAACAGTGTCGCCCCATCAAGAGCTTTGGGAAAAGGCACATCGAGGATGTAGAGCAAGAAGCCAACACTAAGGAGGCTGTGGCTCCATGGTGCTCGATCGACATCAGCTCCGGAAACTTGACGGTCGTCTTGGAACCATACAATTGCTTTGACGCCGAGATGTACGCCGACGAGCTGGCTTTGGAGGAGCCAGTCGAGTTTCGAGAGGACCAGAGAAGTACGATTTCCCAACCATTTTAGACGTTCGGGGGTGCTGACATCTCCCAAGTAAATCTTGGTAAATGGGTCCTAAGGTACCTGTTTGCGAATCTTATTGATGAGGAGATACGGCGGGACGAGGACTTTAGACAGAAACTTAATCAAACAGCAGCGCGAAAGGTAACCCCCGGGAAGGCTGTGCCGCCGCTTTCTATATCCATACCATCACAGCCTGGTTGGGAACCCCAGGAGTTGACCTCGGCCACGCCCCGAGCCAACGGATCCCAATACCCACCATCAACACCCGGTTTTGGAATTGGTCTGGCCACTCCTGGCGGGCAGCCACCACTGCCTGAAGGAATCGCCGCCACTCTCAGCCCGCTCGAAAAGCGGTCATCTCAGGCTGGGCGGACGTCGGCGGAGAGGGATGACTACTTCTCTGACGCGATCCAAAGCCCGGAGGGCACCCAGGCTGCCAAGCCAGCTCAGACGCCTGCCACCGAGGCCCCTCCAGCTGAAGACAAGGCGCCCAAGACCCCGGGCGACACGGCCAAGGAGAAAGAAAAAGATATCAAGGGAAAGGAAAAAGAGGACGCCAAGTCACCTGGCGGTTCTTTTGGCATGAAGAAGTTCCGGATGGGCATGTCTTTTGGCAGTAAGAAGCTGAGGCGGTCATCCTCGGGCGCGGCTCCCGACAAACCAGTCGTTGTGGATGAGAAAGCAGAGGAGTCGGAGGCATCGTCCAACCACGAAAAAGAATTTGGCGATAACTTTCTGGGCGTCATTCAAAAACTGCGCAGCGAGTACGAGAAACAGCTGGGCGAGAACCCCGAAAAGCCGTTGGAAACCAAGATTACACCCAGCCTGGCCAATGATACGCCGGTGCTGAAGTTGCCAGCCGGCACGAAGGTTATAATCCAGGAGGAAACTTCGGGCGGCTCGGCCGAGATATACCGTGGAACAGTGGCGTCCGTGGGGGCAGACGCAGACATCATTGAGGAGAGGGCTCCTCAATGGCTCGGCGAGGTGCTTCTACTAAACACGATGCCGCCAAAGGATCCGGTCAAGGTGTCGTTTATGCTCTACCCGTGGAAGGATACCCTACCACCGATCGTATCGGCCGATGGCAACAACCGACTCAACGCCAACAGGATGCTCCGGGTCAAGAAGATTCTGGCTTATGTGGCCGAGCGGATTGACCCGGTGCCCGAGGGCCAAGAGCCGGACCCTGATGCTCTGAAGCCGGAGGAGTACCTGGAGCTGTACTGCAATGACCACGTAAGTTTTGACATTCATTGACCCGTGTTTCTCATTGAGTTACTCATGTATTTTGTAGCTGCTGCCCATCAAGATGACGCTTGCGACGCTGCGGACCCATGTTTGGAGGGGTGGAAACGACATCATCCTCCATTACAAGGCCAATGGCAGGAAGGAGATTCCCATGCCGCCTCCGGCGGAAGAGACAGAGGACACGGGCAAAGGTGAGGCAGTTGGAGAGAACTGCAAAGCGATGATGCCTTGAGGATGCCTTCTCGGCCGGCAACGGAAGCCGTGCTGCTGTATTTGTATCCGTATACCATTCAACGTTTCCAGCGACGCCTGTGTCTATAGGGGTATTATCGGAATCTTGCTACTGTACACACTGTTAGCTTACATGGCTTCCGGGCTGGGTTTGATCTCGGGATATCCAACCCCGCCCGTTCTCCTTGGTTGACTGGGTATCGTTGCACATAAAACCACATCGCGCCGTTGATGCATGATGAGGAGCCCAAGGCCCTTATACGGCCAGCCGCCTCTTCAGCCGCCTCTCCTCCAGTGCATTCACGGTCCACTGGTAGCTCCCCAAGAATATTGCTCCTCCAATACTGATCCACATCACCCTCGGCCCGATACCAGCGAAGAAGGGCCTAATCCCATGCTCTTTGAGTATCGTCCTCGCAACGCGCACCATGCTCTCACGCTGAGCACTGAGCATGATTCTGGTCTTGAGCACATCCAGCGGCGTCGTCACGCCGGCCGCTATCCCGCCCGCGATGCTCCCGTACAGCCCCGACTCGGCCGCGCCGACCTCGCTTATCCCCCCTCCACCACCGACAGGATGCTCAGAATCTCCAAACAACCCCTTTCCCGTGCGCGCGCGCCGATCCCGTCCCCACGCCTTGAGCGCCTCCCACAGCGGGAACTGGAGCACCGTAAACGGCACCTCGCGCAGCACCGTCGCCGCCCAGCCCCGGTACAGCTCCATCCAGACGCCCGCAACACCCACCGCCCGTCTCTGCGCCAGAATGTGCCGCAGCGACGCCCACGACGACCCGCCGTGCTGACCCGCCTGCGCCCGCTGCTTGACTACTTCTGTCGGCACGCGGACCGCGCACGCGGCGATTTCCCCCGCTGACGCGGCAGCCATGTGTTCAAGCGCTTGGCGGGTTTTGGTGGTTGTAGATATGCTGCTGGTGCTGGTGGAGGAGGAGGAGGAGGAAAGGGCGGATTTGGTTGCTTCGTAGGTGCAAAAGAAGAAGGCGGCGCCCGGAGCGCTCCCGACTAGTGCTGAGCCCACCCCGCGGTAGATCCCTCGGAACCCGCCCGACGCGAAGAAGCCTTGGGAGGACTGTAGTCGGGTTTTGAGAGTGTCGAGAGGGAAGAGGGAGAGGTCGACTGTTGTCCCCGCGAGGCCGCCGGCGAGAAGGGCGGTCTGGAAGGGTGGTGGGGTTGGGATGGAGGCTGCTGCCATGGTGACGGGAGCCGAGCGAGGTGGAAGTTCAAGGTGCTTCGGGTTAGAGTTCGTGGTTAAAGATGGACGCGGCGCGGTTTCGTACCCGGGCGGGCGGCGGTGATGGCCAACGGCCGAGAGAGCGGTTGCTGAAAAGTTTAGTTGTTGAAAGAGATCATGGGATGGCGTGGGCAAGGCTATGAGGTCGATTTGAGGGTTTGAACAAGGATTTCGCGTTGTCGACGATGAGCTCAATGAGGACTCAGACGAGGTCTGGTCCCGGCAAGCAACGCTGATTCTGCACTGCCCGCAGTGGAACAACCCGAGTGGAACCCCTGTAAGGATACCTGATGGACAGTGGAGCAGCCCTGAAAACCCCACTGTGGGAGGAAGCATGGGCCGCTGAGACCCGGACTTTTCCAGCACTCATCTCACTCCAACAGCTTAACCCCACCAATTCCGCCCACACACTGCATGGTGCAGCTCACGGCTCCCATCTTGTGATGGGATGACCACAACACCCGTATTGCACCGCAGCGCGCGGGCAATTACCATCAGCGAGTTCCGCGATGCCCTCCGAGCAACATGTCCCCCACGCTTCCCGCAAGCGAAGTCACTCACACACCGGCGGATCGGTAAGTTTGTCAATCCATTGGCCGCCGTTGGTTGTTGGTTGCTTTGATTGTTGCGACCGGCTGACCAGAACAGGTCTCGCGGTCAGCGGCGGTGTCGACTCTATGGCGCTTGCCTTCCTCTGTTCCAAGATAAGAATAGGAGATCCATATTTCAGAATATCTGACCATCCCGTTGGTTGCTTTTATGCCATGATTATCGACCACGGCCTCCGCGAGGGCAGCACGAAGGAGGCAAACGATGTCGCCGAAGCAGTCGAGAAAATGGGGTTGAGGGGCCAAGTGATGAAGATTCACTGGACCGAGATTGTTGGGAAAGATAGAAAGCCCAACGACCTGCCCAACGTTGAGACCCTGGCACGCCAGCTCCGCTACCGGCGAATTGCCCAATTCTGCAAGATGTCCAAGGTGGCCAGCGTCCTTACGGCACATCATGAAGACGACCAATACGAGACGGTGCTGATGAGGCTCCTGTCTGGACACGGCTACCGCGGCCTGCAGGGAATGCGCACCGCAACCGACATCCCCGAGTGCTACGATGTCCACGGCGCCTATCAGAGCGGCATCATTGATGACCAGCAGCTTGACAACCCCTTCTACAACATGCGGCCGTCGGGACGTCAGCGAAAGTATATGCGGCGTGATCTAAGGTACGAAGTCGACCCTGCTGTGCTCGCCAAGGAGATTGAGGAGGGCCTGGACGCCGATGCGATTGCCATGTATCTCGACGACTACGATGCCATAACCAACAAGGCGAAGCGCGCCCCTCCCCTAGGCCCCCTGGACGTTGAGGACGGCGGCATCATGGTCTACCGGCCGCTGCTGCACTTCAGCAAGGAGAGGCTGGTGGCGACGTGCGTTGAAAATGGCATCCCTTGGTTTGAGGACCACACGAATGCGGACCCGACGCTAACCACGAGAAATGCGGTCCGACACATGTACAAGAATTGGACCCTACCCGCGGCGCTGCAAAAGCCTGCCATCCTCCGGCTCGCTGAACGATGCCGAGCAAAGGTCGCTTCAGAAGAAGCCGAGGCCGATAGGCTTCTGCACAATGTCATCTTCCACAAATTCGAGAACAACACCGGGACACTAGTGGTTACCCTGCCTAACTTCTCTTTTCCAATTGTCCCACGGCGCTCCACATGCTCGCCGACCGGCCGGCGCAAGCGAACCGAGCACTACCGCCGTATCGCTGCGGTAACAATACGAAAGCTCCTCTCGATGGTGACGCCAGAACGAGAACTCCCACCGGTTCAACAGCTAGGTCCCCTAGTCTCCATGCTCTTCCCCTCCCTAGTCGATGAGGGAGACCCGCCGGAGCCCAAAGCATACGTTATCTGCGGTGTACACTTCATACCGCTGGTTGGGGACTTCCCCCTGCGCTGGCTTCTGGCAAGAGCACCTCACGTGTCAAACGTCCCACGGCCGTTTGTTGCTTCTCACGGCTTGGCGCTTGCCAAGCGTATATCCAAGCATCCAACTACCTGGAAACCAGAATCCTGGGCAGAGGCCCGTCTTTTCGATGGCCGCTACTGGATTCGGATTTCTCACCGGCTCCCCTGTACCGTTCGTGTCGCCCCTTTTGAACCAGAGCATCAGAAGCCTTTCCGAGAAGCTCTAGATGACCGCTCCAAAAACGACCTTCTGTCCATGCTTCGAAAGTATGCGCCCGGGAAGATTCGGTACACACTGCCAGCCATCTACAGCATATATGATGTGAGCAATCTACTGGCTGGCGGTAATTGGTGGCCGGATTGGCAGTCCAAAGCTGCCGACGGGAGCCAGGAGCAGACAGATGAGGTTGGCACCCTTTCTGAGAACATCAGGACCAAAACACTGAGCGAGGTATTCGCGGGCCGCTTGGAATGGGAGAAGGACGTGAGAGAACGAGGAAAACCACAGCTGCTTGCGCTCCCAACACTGGGCATCTCCTTGCCCGGCTTGGACGATTGGCTGCAATGGGACATCCGATACCGCAAGGTAGACCATCGACTGCTTCAGCTAAGCAAGCTTGGTGATTTTCGGTTGGGGCGACGCGAGCTTAGATTCAGGGTGAGAACTCAGTATCGGTATCGGCGTAAAAGACTCCGGAAGCCGTGGAAGAGTTCGGCGTCTTGGCGGCCGTGGCGCTGAAGCAACCAGTCGGCGCGCTTGCCGATCCACGTGCCACACCACCGTACACGGTGCGGCTCGTGTCAATCGCAACCTCATTTTGCCGCCTTGTTGACTCCACTGTCTTGTTCGAGAAGGTTGAGTACGATGCCGAGGTGAATCTATTAGCGAGGGTCCATCATGACCGCCTTGGATACTTTATGAATGGATTCGCCCGCCCGTCCAGGTTCCCGGCGCCAGTTTTTTTCTCCCAGTCGTGTTTCTGCATATGCTACGGTGATAGTCATATTAGTCGTTATCGCGCTTTTGGTAGAGGTGTTCAAACAGGAGTTGAGCGCGATGTTGACTCGTGGCCACCATATGCTGCTAGCGTTTGCTGGCGTTGGGCTCTCCCAAAGTTCGGGGACCAGCAGCAGCACAATCGACTTGTCATGGCATCCTCCAAAGCAAACCCAAATCAACAACATCACAGCTGTGATGGCTGGCAAGGGTGTATATGGGTTTATTTACAACTCATCCGACACCCCAAACGACAGATACGGGACGTATAACTGGTGCAACATGCCGCATGTGAGGAAGAAGGAGTACGTCAAGGCGCCTTCGGAGTACGACCTTGTATATGTTGAGTTGGTATGTGTCGTCACCGCAATCACTTGCTTGTGAAACCGCGCCCTAACATGCTCACCCAAGATCCACCGCCACCACAAGCGCACACCATACTCATCAAACGCCTTCCCCGTGGAACCGTATCAATGGAACTGTGACGACCAGGGCCTGTACTACTACGGCGAACCCTTCCGAGGACACAACAAAGCCACACCGGCCTACTGGCAGGGTTATACCTCCCCTACCAATCCGTTCGTCCCCTCAGGCTGGATCGGCACTTGCCAGTTTCCCCAGATCACGTCAGGGGGTCTCTCCGACTCCTGGCAGCACGGCGCCGACCTGTACGAAGTCTACCACGACCTCCTCCGTTTCCTCCCGGCCCGTCACGACTCGAAATGGCGCCGTAAAGTCGCCTTCCGCGTCACGCACAACGCCATCACCTCCCAGGTGGCGGGCATGCTGATCCACGGCATGTTCCGCACCACCGACGCCGTCCCGCTTCTCGTTCAGGCCGAGACGGTCGACTCTCTGGAGCCCAAATACTCGTGCCCCGCCGCCAGGACGCTCTTTAACGGCCTCACCTCCCCCGCTGGCAACACCGCCTGGCGGGACCACCTCGACAGGGCCAAACAGCTGTACGCCGACCTGGATGCCCTATCAGGCGTGCCGCCGAGCGATTCGGGCTTTCACGCTTCCTTTGACCACTACTACGACAACCTCTCGGCGCGGCAGTGCCATCAGCTGCCGCTGCCCTGCAAAGTCGGCGGCGGAGAGGGGGAGTGTGTCACGCAGGACATGGCCGAGGCCGTCTACCGGCTGGGCCACTGGGAGTACTCGCACATGTACCGGTCCGAGCAGGCGTCGCTGGACGCGTCGGTCGCGTCGTTTGGTGTGTGGGTCGCCGAGCTGGCGGCGCATCTTCGCGGTGCCATCGGAGACGGTGATGGTAATGCGGGGAAGATCTACTGGCATAATATTGCTCATGACGGGTCGGTTAGCAGGTTGCTTTCTGTGTTGCAGATTGAGGAGATGGTCTGGCCTGGCATGGGTAGTGAGGTTGTCTTTGAGCTGTTTAGGAAGAAGAAGGGGAAGGATGCGGGGCGGTATTTCGTGAGGGTCTTGTTTGGCGGGCGGGTGCTGAGGTCGAGCAGCCCGACTTTGGGCGTCATGGATATGGTGCCTGTTGAGGCTGTGTTGGGGTATTTTGATGGGTTGGTAGGGAAGGGGGCGGCGGCGGTGAAGGGGAAGTGCGGGAGTTGATCGAGGTGTTTGAGCGGAGAGGGTTCTCGCGTGCTAGGCGCATGGAGGAAATAGACTTTGAGAAAGAAATCCAATTCCATTCGATCGCCTTTTGTCAGGGACATCGATACAATGCGTGCGAAAGGCTCTCCTACATTGACTTCTGCTGTGTATTATCAGACGATACTGTACTAACGGCGGCAGGGAGGGTCGTGAATAGCAAGTGAGAAGACGGTGATCTGAACTTCAGACTGTCACAATCGTAACTTGGAGGAGGTGGTCTGGTTTAGATGTAGATTAAGGTATGATATTCAGTGCTGGCGAAATTAGACTTAGGAAAACGCAGGAGCCTGAGGAGTGCCTCGACGACAGCGGGGGGCGGGGGGTGGAGGTATATACTAGGCAAGTTTACGGCCGCAGGTTTCCAACAGGAACCACTACACTTTCAACAGCGTTGTGGTGTAGCGGTTCCAGCGCAGGGTTGAGAAAATCCCTGGACAGCCTCTGGTCGACGGATGGTACAGTCCCAGACTGTTGTCTAGGCTCATACGCTCTTTTTTAGCCCCTTCAGGTTCGATTCTTAGCTTGACCATACCTTTCTGCTTCCTTCTTTTCTCTCATTTACTCTATTTCCTTTCTTCTTAAGAGAATAAGTGTTTAAAACATGTTCTGCTATGCTGTGAGGGAGGGGTGAATGGGAAAATGTATATCGGGGATCGTGAAAGACTGTCCCAGACTGTTGTCTAGGCTCATGCCCTCTTTTTTGGTCAAAGGTTCGAGTCCTGGATCGAGCATTCTTTTTACCCTACTTTTCTCTTGCTTTGTTTCCAAACTTCTATTATATTCAGATGGATTCCACAACCCGACGTCGTTGGATTTCTTTCCTACAGATCGCTACATCCATATTGAAGCCTCTATCCACGCCGGATCTACAGATCAAGACCCTAGTAGAGCCGAAGGATGACTCCGCCTTCACCCTTAAGACTGTTATTGTGAGCTATCACTGTGGATTAACTCGCTACATGTCAAGCAAGATGACCCGGTGGGGAGGAGCCGGCCGATTAAGCTCATAACCGACAATACCAGCGGCTGCCGCCATTCTCTCATGGCTTGGGCCTGGGACAGGACAACCTATCGGCCTATATATGCCTTCATTGCCATTGACCGCGTCAAATCGGTAAGAAAAGGACTGTGAGAGATGTGGATGGGCGGTGACTCAACGGCGGGTACCGGCAAGGCACGTAGACTTGCATATGCTGGCAACAATCTCCATCTGCTATGATTACTTTCGATTTGATGCTAACCTGCAGTAGCCGCCAAGTCCCGTTCTAGGTCAGTCCACCGTCCATTGCGCATCGGATCGAGCTCCTTCAACTTCGCAAGCCACGCTGCCAGGTCTGCCTGTTCGCTTGCATTTGGCCGTCTGCCTTCAAGCTGGCAAACATAGATTGTGTACTCGAATAACCCCTCATAGATCAGCTTTATATCCTGGTAATCCTCCAATAGGTCCTTAATCTCCTCAATCTCGTGCTTCAGGTATCCCACCCGGTCTTGAAGGCTCAGCTCAGGGATGAAGGTCTGGTCCCTATCATGGCCGACCAAACTCAGGACGAGAAACTGGTGATAATACCACAAGGATTGATCCTCGGGACCAACATTAATTGCCTCACGGATCTTATCCAGTTCTGAGATGCATATCAGTTATCACTACTTTAGAATCACCCAAAAGTAAGCGAAGCACATACCCTTGTCTAGAAACGCCCTTCTCGCCGTGCCGTCGGCAGCCCTCTCATCCAAAAGACGGGGAATCAGCTTGCTCCGGCTATGCCAAGCAGAGAAGTTGGATAGATCAGATTTGATCATACTCTCTGTGTATTCGAACCCCGCTTCGACTAGGCTGCTGCCCTGGAGACTTGAGCTCTCGAGTTGTTCCACCACGTGCCGGCGGTAGCCCCATGCGTGAAAGTTCCGGCGGTCCCTACCAAGCATCTTGGATGCCAGCCCAAGCTCCTCCTCCCATATGCGCCGTGCAGTTGCGACGGGGAGTCGCTCAATGGCTTGTCGGAGGATCCACAATCGGTAGCTCCATATCCAATAGCACTTTGGCGACTGGAGGAGGAGCGGAATGGTGAAACCGAGCTCAGATCTGATGAGGTCGAGGTCCTGTTTTGTGTCGTCGGTGGCGGGTGCATCGGGATCAGCTGTTATACCACTCTTCCCAACTGTCTGGGAGGCGGGGTTGGGCGGGGTCGCGGTTGAGGATGAAGACGAGTAGCTGCCGGAAGAAGTTGTTGTAGTGTCTGAAGGAGAAAAACTCGAGGACCCCTTCGAGCATGATGACCCAGCTGATGGTTTTGAGAATGATCCAGAGATTAGGCAGCGTCTGCGGACGTTCCATATTGTGTAGTACTCCGGGTTAAAGCGCAGGAGCTTGGACGTGAGTTGGAACGTCTCGGGCGAGTAGTCTCTCTGCGACACGCGCGAGCGCACTTGATCCTCAAGCTCTCGGTATTTCCTGATCTTTTCTAGATCGCGAAGCCTCTGCTCCTCTGTCCGCACACGGGATGATCGGGCTATGCCGTGTTGCGATCCGCCTTGCTAAGGGCCCTTGTTATCAGTCAACTTTCCTGCTAGCAGCGGCAACGGTGCGAGAAGAGCAGCAAGTTCTTACATCGGCCATATCTAGATTACGAGAGTGTTGGGTTGTTGTTGTCTTTGGACAATGAGATGTCTGACAGATTCGTCAGCATCGCAATGCGCCGAAGGGGGGCATCTGCGACGTAGCTCCATTGATGTTATCGATAAGGCCCCTTGCCTTATCTAATCAATCATGGCGTCAACGGCTCCCTGCTCAACATTACTTACCCAGCACCTCTATAGCAAACCGTCGGTCAGACGACGAGCCTAGCCATTGTTAAGCGCTTGACTAACTACGCTCCCCCGTGACTTCCCAAAGCATCGGCCACTCCTTAGAGTTTCATGACACTACTGCGTATATCACTACAATGGAACGCAACGGAAGGTCCTACTGGCCAACCTGGAAGTTGGTCCCGGCACCATCTGACCATCTGGGCCATTCCTGCCTCTTATTCAATTTGGAACTCTCTAAGAGCACTGCCCGGCTCTTGAGGTCAATGGCATGATCTGCCCGTTGCTGGCTTCTCCCTTTGATAACTCTCCGCAGATATCACTACGACCGTTGCATATCAGTAGTTCAAGAAAGCCGCTGGCCAGTCAAGCAGAGTTGAAGCTGTCGAGTCCCGGCTCCATATGCTCGTCACAGCCTGCCATGACCAGGCCAGCTTGAACGGCTTGAGCTACCCAAGTTAGCCTCGGTCTGCATTCGTTTCGCTTGTATTGTCACATCTCTTTTACTTGTATCATTTCCGTCACACAGGACAGCGAACCAGAAGCATGCTCCTTGGAGTTGACCTGCCGTCAAGGCCCCGTCGTCCGGATCGTGAACTCAGCCCTCCTTCGGGCTGTTTCGTAGCTCCAGCTGACTCAGCGTATGGCTCGGGCCCAGCAACACCAGCAACGCTGGCCGAGCCTGAGGACAACGGCGGGAGCCCAATTACACCTGTTTCCTACTATGGCACTCAATCAGACTCAGACGACCCATTCACAGAGGGTGACCCTAAAGACGTACATGTGGTCGAAGCAGGACACGACGCAGAATGCTGCTCTCGGATTATGTCCGTCACCTTACCCATTCGATCATCGCGCCCTCGTCCACGCTTGGCGTCATCATTCTACTCTGGTAACGGCTCAAGGTTTCAACGGCCAGATCTTACGGCTGAGTTCACTCGGCTCAGGATCGGGTCTCTGCGCCGTCCAGATCGATTCATCCCAGCGAGGCCTCGGGAAGCAGAGCTTACCGAGAGATTCCGGACTGGCAAAGCGGCCCATGAGTTGACAGCATTTGAAAAGCTTCTCCGCAACAACATGGCAACAGAAGACCCGTTTCGTTACCGCCGGAGGGCGGTGTTACCAATGTCTGCCCAACTTCGGCTGCAGTCTCGCTCCGAAGCTACGGGCAGCCGGAATCGAGGTATGTATCAGCAGGTGCGGAGTTCATGCGCAGTGCTTGTCTGACTTGGATGTAGTTGGTAGCGTACTTGGGGCTCTGGACCAAAACAGTATTGATAATATCGACAATCAGCCCAGCGACGGTACCATCTGGACCGTCGGTGTTGCCCCCCATGCTGGAACCGCTGTTAATGACGGCAGAGGGCAGTTGGTCTCGAGTGGGACCAATGCTCGACTTTTCCGGAGTACGTTCCCAACAGCAAAGAGAAAAGCCGAGGAAGAATTGGAAAAGCATGGGGCCCGCCTTGCAGCGGCTCTGAGGTTAGACCGCTCGCAGCGAGTCCTCGAGGTAAATGTGACGCCCTATCGCGACGGGATCAATAAGAAGATGCATGACATCGTTTCCACGCAATGGAACGGGACGGAGTGGGTAAACGAAGGGACAGCACCCACGCCGTCGAAGTCTTCTGGAAATCGGATATTGCCCCTTGCCCCATTCAAGTGCGTCCCGCAACCTACATCTGAGTCCTGTCGATCACACTGACAGCAGGCAGAGTTCTCGATGCTCCTAACTTACGAGATGACTTCTACTGCTCGGTCCTCGCCTATTCACCCACGTGTCAGACGCTAGCTGTTGGACTAGGTGACTTTGTTTACGGATGGTCAGAGAGCAGAGGTGTGCAGCTACTTAACGCTGGTAGAGACTCCGATTCACATTTAACAAGCCTTTCTTTCTCTTCATCTGAGGGGTGCAAGGCCATCTTAGCCTTCGGAAGGACCGACAGAACGCTAACTCTGATGTCGCTCTACGATGACCCGGACCCAGAAGGCTCCAGCCCCGGCCCGTTACCGCGATTCAAGGCAATTCAGCCTTGCCCTGTTACTTGTCTCAGCTGGAAACCTGTGTGCACGCTCCGTCCCTCTAAAAGCCGGTTTCACCCAGATACTCTTGTGAAGAACGAAGATCTCCTCGTGGGAGATGAGGCTGGCCATGTCTACTACTACGCTGTTGAGTGGCCGGAGAGATGGGAGGTAGCGCGACACAACTGGTCTGGACAGATGACTCTGATGGCACGCATTGCAATTCATACCCAGCACATATGTGGTCTGGCTTGGTCACGCAACGGCGAGCTCTTTTGTACAGGAGGGAACGACAACCTCTGCTGTCTTTTTGAGACGGATAAGCTTGGCGAATCTAGCCTCAATAATCAATCCTCAAACGGGGAGCTCCAGGGTGAAAGGTCAAGACCGACGCAGCCGAGAGTAAGAAGCGAGGGCTCAGAAGCCGGGACGCAAATTCGAACGCTCCAAAACACAGTGTACCCTGCGAGGTTCCATGGGCCCGGGAGCGAAAAGCACCGGTGGGTTCACGGAGCCGCAGTCAAAGCAATTGCGTTTTGTCCCTGGCAAGAGAGTCTGGTGGCTACAGGAGGAGGATCCAATGACAAATGCATTCATTTCTTCCACGCCACATCTGGTGCAGCGCTGGCAACCATCTCAGTCTCTGCCCAGGTGACCAGCTTGATCTGGTCGACGACTCGACGCGAGATCGTGGCCACGTTTGGCTATGCGCAGCCCGAACATCCCATCCGAATCGCAGTGTTCTCGTGGCCAGATTGCTGCCAGGTTGCCGCAATACCCTGGGCTGGGGAGCACCGAGCGCTCTATGCGATAGCATATCCCAACGGGCCTGGAGAAAGAAGCCCATCTGAGAAGGGCAATAGGGCGCGGAACCGTGGCCGCCCTGCAATGGGAGGCTGCATTATGGTTGCATCGAGCGATAAGAGCGTCAAGTTCCATGAGGTCTGGGCGGCAGACAAAAAGGCAACCGGCGGCGGGGTCGGCATACTCGGCGGCAGCGACATCCTGGAATGTCTGGAGGGCATCGACAAGGATGGTGGTGTTATCCGCTAAGGGAGACGAGCTCGTTGGAAGTCAGTCCAAGCCACAGTATACTCAGGGGTAAAATGTAAGGCTGTATCAAAATTGCTGACCAAGGATGGGGTGTGCCATTGCTGTAGAATAGGGGCTGGCTCCCGGGGCTGAAAGGAGGCTGTCGGTGGAAACAGCACGGTAGACAAACACAAGAGTTGCTGACAATGAGACTGGTTGTGGCCTGTTACTGAGAATTCTGGGTTTGCAAAGTGGCCATCCCAGGACTGTCAAGCCTGCTTGGTGTTCAGACCGTCCCCAATTACCACAGGATAACAAGGTAACCACATCACATCAACAGCCATCGCCCACATACCTAGCTCTCATGCTGTAAAAAGGGTTGGTCTCTTACGAGCTAAGAAGCAGCAAAAGATAAACGATGCCCAATAACAGGATTGAACTGTTGACCTTCGCATCACTTAACATAACAGGCTTGTTATATTAGTACGACGCTCTAACCAGCTGAGCTAATCGGGCTGAGTGGATTCATGGAGGTCTGTGGCGAGTCAGGGCTCAAGTCAGGTGCGGGACCTGAGCCGGGAAAACCTCCGGGTGGAGTATCAATATGATGGGTAGGAAACAACTGCGGTGGTTGTTGATGAGATGTGTGCTGTAGGAGGAGCAACAACAGCAGATCGAAGTTCGTTCGTAGAGATTCATAACGTTACAAGAAAATCCAAAGACCGCCCGCTAGTACATGGGGATCCCCTAGGAGTACGCCAGCCCTCTTGAACTCCCAAAACGCCAAGAAGAATGCAAACCAAACGCTTCACAACCAAGAAGAATGTGACAGACGTTTGAGAACAAGGTCGAAGACAACATAACCTCCCTTGCTCGCCCGTGACCGAATAAACCGATGGAATAGGCCGAGACCCAGACCAGCCGCAGGGACCTCTTTCACTACTTCAAAATGGCAATCAACAAGATAAGCACAACAATAAGCACCAAAATGGCGCCCATCTGTCTGCACTCGCTGCCCGAAGCATGACGACGCGTGATGCGGCCAATCTGGCGGCGGGCGCGGCCCAGGGCGCCCTGCTGGCGGTCGACGGCGCGCTCCGTCTCGTCGAGCATCAGGATCTGGCTGTCGAGCTCGTCGCCAATCTGCATCGACAGCTCGCGCTGCCGCGAGATGGACGCCCCCAGCGCGTCCAGCTGCGCGTCCTGCTCGGCTAAAATCTGCTCGTGGTACGCGTGTATCTCGGCGTTGCTTGTTAGGGATGCAGCTTGGGTTACGTAGCCGGCGGTATCGTCGTCGGTGTCTGGGTCGTCCCGGTAGGGGAAGAGCGCGGAGCGGGAGGGTGATGATTGGCGTTGGGATTGGGATTCGAGGTCTGTTGATGGGGAGGAGAAGCGGACGGCTTTCTTTGGGGCTGGGGCGGTTGTTGTTGTGGTGGTGGCGGTTGTTGCGGGGGGGTTAGAGGTTGAGGCCGAGGTGGAGGATTGCGCATGGGCAAAATCGGCTGCCAGGGAGGGGTCGTTGGGCGAGGTGAGAGTTGAGGATGTGGCGGCGGAGGAGAAGCCGTGGAATTGAGAGGTTAGGTCGGAGTATTGCTTTTGGAGGGAAGAAAGGGTGGCGGACAGGGCAGCGGCTTTTCTGTTACGGGGTCAGTTTGAGAGAAGAGAGATAGGCGGGTTTGATGTCGAGCAGGGGGAACAGTACGATTCATCGCCTGCTTCTTGCAGCCGCCGCTGCTCCTTCTCAAGTGCCTCGAGACCTTCCCGGAACTGGTCAAGGGATCGTGAGATGTGGCCATCCTGCGAATCCCGTGAGAGATTGAGGGTCTTTGCGCGCTGCTGCTCCAGGAGCGATAGCTTAATGTGGTCGGCGAGCAGGAGGAGGGCGTTCGGGTTGGACATGGCTGCTGATTGCCTGTAGCAGCAGAGGGGGAAAAATAAAATAAAAAAAAATCTGAGGCAGTGAGCGTCTCCTCGGGAAAGAGGAGCGTAGCCTGAAAGCGAGATGGCACGAGAGAATGGAGTGGACAATCTACCAGGAAAGCATCGTCGATGAACTGGTCGCAATTGCAATGGCTGGCCGTCTTCAGTTGTCGGCTAATACCGTCCAGCAGGTCTGGGGCCTGTCTGCATTACGTATGCAGCTCATCGGGGAATAACCTCGGGGAAGTGAGGTACCGTAGAAGTGAGAGACTTTGGTCCGTGCGCTCATCCACCCAGTTTAAGCTTTAAAGGCAAGCCAAGCCTGAGCATGTTATCGTCAATTCTACAAAATATGTGTCCAGTACATAGTGCTTTTGGCCGCCTTTCTTGTACCAGCCCATTCGTCCCGTTTGTCCGACTCGCAGTCGCCATTAGGGACGCGTTATAGATGAATTTTGATGGCGGGCGTGAGGTCAACGCGGACAGGGTGAAGACCGAGGCTCCGGGGATGGATGAGGCCGCGCCCGGCGAGCCGCACCTCGCGCAAGCAGGGCATCAGCAGTCCCATTCCCATTCCCATTCCCAGCAAGCTGGACAACTGGTTGAAGGGCGCCCTTCACAATTGGGTTTCCAGCATGACAGGCCCGCTGAACCAACCGCTACGGATGGCGTCGCCGGGTCCTCTGATGCAGCAGCACCGCTGCCAGCCACGTTCCCCAAGAAGCGCCGCGGCCGACCTCCGGGCCGCCCAAACACTACGGTCCGTGAGGAAGATTACGCCAACAATCCGCTCGTCCAGGCATGGAATGCATTCAAAGGCGAGCGAGCTGTGCCGGTTGTTCCCGTTCGCATCCGCGAGGCCTTAACTCCGCAATCTCTTGTCCATGAAACGCAGAAGGCCATCTACCAGCTGCCCTGCCGCGAGACCATTTATTTCGTGCAAGGCTGGATCACTGCCCGGCATGTTGCCTCACAGCGGCCGAGCTACATCAACGGACTGCTAATCCACTCCCGAGGCCAGGACTCCGCCATATCGTGCGTCCAGTGCGTAGAGCGCAGCGCAAAAAACGCCCTGGGTCCCTTCCTCACCTGCCGCGTCTTACCGGGACAATTCCACAATAGCTGCTCAAACTGCAAGTGGTTTGACAACACTTCGTTGTGCTCGCTCTACACTGGGCCCAAACCAAATCGAAAGCGTAAGGCGAAGGAGCAGCTTCCTGAGCCTCCGCCTCTTGCGAGTGTCAGCGAAGACGCCGCCAACAGCAACGATATTGCCATTGACCCAGCACTTGGAGCAAGCGGAGAGCAAATCCTCTCACGGCCGCAAGCACAAGGAGCACCACAGCCGATACCAAAAACAGAAAAAACTCCGCAGCGGCAAACCAAGCCGGAAATGATGCCGGTTCAAAACGGACAACTGGGCCAGCAAGATGGCGAGGGGCCACAGACGCAACAATCAGACCCAACACCTACCGCAGGCACAGCCCACCACGACCCGTCCGCCCCATCCCAATCCTCGACCGAAAATATTTCTGAACTCGCCGAAGCCCGGAGCCAGGGTGAATCGTTTTCAATAGCTCAATTTGCTATGCCCAAACTTGGGAGAGACGAAGACGCGCAGGTGGCACACGAGGAATCAGAGTGAGTGCCAATAACCCGCCGTGTCACGATTCCAATGTTGACAGGGTTTCTTTTACCGATATAAGCTTCGTAGACGCGCAGATAGCTGCTCAGCTGCTGCCCGAGATCCATCGCCAGGACTCGGAGGAGGCATGAATCGCATGATGAGCTAGGTATGATCAGTCGGTTGAGTATACTAGGAGTACGGGCTGCCAGGCTACGCCTAAGTAAAGCCGTCTGTTTCTTTTCGGCATGCAATCAATGTACAATTAGCATTAATACCCTGTCTTGTTTCCAAGGAGAATCAAAAAAATCACACTCAGTTATAGAGAGAATCCAAGCCATAGATTTATTTACCTCAGTATTCCCGAGGCGGCCGTCATCTTAGAGACTTGGTGAAAGTAAAGGCGCTGCAACTATTAAGCATCGAGGTCTTCGCCGAATCGTCTACCTGGGCATTGACAGAGCAGATGAGGCACCTACTGTGAAGGTCGGCTGCGCAGTTTACCTCCATAAAGCACAGACTCGCAGCCACATGTGAGGCAGGAAGCAGACACCGTAGCCAGACTGCTCAGTCTCGACAAGCAAGGCCACATAAACTTCCATCTATTGACATACACGCCATGTGTGAATCAAACATGGCCACGTACCACCAAGCCAAACTTGACGTTTGGCGGACCAAAGGTTGGCAGCTAGGTTGGTGAAGTGATTCATGGCTGACATGACAAGGTGTCTTTTACCGACGCCGGACAGTTTTTGGATTGTGTTGAGCGAAAAAGGTAGGAACAAAGGTTTTGTGGTGTTTTTGCGAGCTGAACTTTTCATCTCATACGAGGTTGCTCGGCCATTTGGTATACTTCACCAAAATACACTTCGGATCAACACCACTGGCACTTCCCTACTTGGCGAAAGAGACTTTTGCTAAGTACGCTTTCAACGGAATAGGTAATACAGTCAGGAAGTAGTATTAAGGTTTGTGATGTTATTGTGAGGGAATCTCTTTCATCCTGTACGGGGTTGCCCGGCCACTTGGTATACTTTGCAAACATGCACTTCGAATCAACACCACCACCCACCCTGCTTGGTGAAGACGGATACTTGTGCCACGTTTCCAACATGAAGGTAATGTAGGCAGGCGCGAATGAGCTTTTTCATCCTATACAAGGTTGCTCTGCCATTCACCATAAGTACTAACTTCGAACTTGGAAGTTTACAATACGCACTTCGAATCAAGTTCCTCACTGCAAACGCGGACTTCGAATCAACACCACCACACTGCTTGGTGAAGACGGATACTTGTGCCACGCTTCCAACAGGACAAGTAATGCAGTCAGGGAGCAATATATAATAACACCCATTTTCGGATGTTTTTTTTTTCACTAAGTATGAGCTTCTTCGAAAAGTCACCAACTCGGCATATCCCCTGGCTTCGACCCCTTTTGCTCCGAGATTTTTAGTACCTGTGTGGACCTCAGTTCACCATAATGCCTCCCCATAATGAGCAAAATGTGACCGGGTGGGACAATGGCGAGATTCTTGAAGAAGTGGCAGGATGGGTAGGTACTAAATATGATGCCCCTGAGTCAGAGGTGCAAGCCCCAGAGATCCTCGTATCACTAACAACATGGTGCAATGCTATCAATATGAAGGTCGGCAAGGACGTGACGTGGGTCACCGACAGTAGCAAGGCAGTAGCTACTGTGTACAATTTCCGGGGGGTAATTGGGACCCTGTACCGCTATGCGTTTTACGAAAAGAGCCGCCGTGAATGGCTTGACGCAACTGGTCAAGCCTGGCTGTGCGGGAGTATTTATGAGGAGCATCCGGGACGATACCGGGGAACCCCACAGATATCTTACATTGGTCTGTTCGGTGAGTAGTAGCATGCTGGTCATTGCTGGTTGCCAGGAGAGGCAGGCTGTTCGAGGGGCAGCTGGGCTTGATCCAGGTTCGCACGGAAAGCAGAACTTCAGATCACGTCCAGTTGTGCACGACTATAAGAAGCCCAAAGCCCAGCTCTTTGACTTCCCCTACTTACCATACATTTCACAACTTCTTAGAAGGCGAACGAGGATCTTCCCCCAAACTCCTGCCACTTTTTGGCCTTCAACTTGAAACCGAACCCGAACCCGAACCCACAGTACCTCCTACTCCCAACGTAGTAGCCACCACCAGCACCACTGGCACAATGCCCAAGTGGAAATTCAACAAGAGCCAGGAAGTTGAAGTCACGAACTGGACTCCGCAGCAGATTTTTGAGCAAGTCAAGGAATGGACCGGGCACGATGTGACCTGGGTAACCAACATCAACGATGCCAAAGCCGTCATCTACGACTATCGCAGCCCAGAGACAAAGGGAAGCATATACATTTGGAGCGACAACTGCGTAGGCGACCAGCGTGAGCTGATCCGCGCCGACGGCCAGATGTGGCTGTTTGGTGACCCGCCCGAAAGAATCCATCATGGCCGGCCCAAGATATTCTACATTGGGTACCTTAATCAATAAGGGGGTTGATGAATGCTTTTGCAAATGATGGCAACGGCATTTGACCCTAATAGGAAACATGCCGGCCTTGATGGAGGCACGGTTTAACCGACAGAGAAGGACCAGGAAGAGAATGCATTGAGAATATAGCACATTGCACTGTAAAAGGTCTTGGAAAATGGAAACTGCAGCATGCATAGGGATGCATTTGGTACTACTTGCGTCTGGAGTGTGGAACCCTGCTGCGAAGATTTTACTGCAGCTAACTTTCAAGCTAAGTTCTGCATTGGTATATGATTATATTGTGATTGACGCAGCAAGTGTGAGATTCATTGAGTTTCTAAGGCCCTCAAATCTGTCATCGTGGTCTTCTCTCCATATAATACGTATGAACCGTCCGAACTTGGAACGGGTTTGGTACTCATATACAACTACTTTGGTACACTTACATTCAATGGCTATTGTTACAATACATTGCGATGTAACCGAGCACTCTGTGACGTATAACTGTCAGAAAGCACAGTTGGGCACCGTATACGCGTACACTAAAGTGGTGATGGAATTCGTGGTGGTTGTCAATTGGTAGATAGGTGGATGGAAGTGGAAAATCTCTATAGGAGGATGGAACCCCTGACTGGGCCTAAACCGACTAAGCTTATAGGGGGCGTATTTCCAACAATAACCCGGCAGCTTGAGGACTGGATCGGAGCCTTGCCGTCGACAGGCACAACCCGATGAGAATCATGGATGCTCTACTGATAATGATCTTCCAGGCCACTTGGCCGTGTAATTGCTTTTCTGCCGGTAGTCGACCCATCAAGAAAACGAACCACCATGTCCATATCCCGCTCTGTGGTGTGGTTCTGACGGCCCTCAGTGCTGGAAGACCAGGTCTCTTGGCTCCTGCAGTCTTCAAAGTAAGTAGCCCGCCGATGGTGCCTGGGGAACTCATGCGACGTCAGTATGTATCATCTGGCCCTTGTTCTTCGCTCTTTTTCTTTAATGTAGAACTCTTGAAAAGACATCACATACCTCGATCAGTTTTATGAGTACTCATTTTTCCATGGTTGCGTAGAAGACTCGATGACTCGAAGCGAGATAATGGATGATATTGTATTGTATGTACATGGCGGAAGAACACCCGTTGAACTCGAGCAACGTTCTTTGAGGGTTTAATGAAGGGCCTTCAAAACCTATCATTTAACCTCACGTAAGTGTCGAACCTGTTAGTTCATTAGGGGTTCTACTTACTTATGGGTCCTAGTGGCAGGCTGAGACCTACAGCCGTGGTATGTGACACCTCATAATTCTGAGTCGACTAGTTATCGTGCTGGGCTGACAGGATTATGAAGCATCTCTTGGTCGTCTTCCCACCTATTAGGTCTGCCGTTCCATGTCTGCATTTCTCGCGGGCCAGATCTGGCATAGGTGTCCGTCGTTGAGGCGCCTCGACGACGGCCGTTGTTGGCCCACGGTCCCCATTTGAACCTGGCGAGAAGTACTCGGAAAACGGGAATTGTCTGGGCAATGATGGTAACGGCCGGCTCCAAAAAGTTAAATATGGACAAGAAAGCCATAAATTCTGGTTGCGAGTTAGATCGTGCTGTTGTTGACCAGTCGCAACTGTTGGTATCATCGGGTTATGTAGGCCACGTACCAAAGTCGTTATCCAACATTATGAACTGGAAAAAGGCGCGGCAGATCACAACAGCACCGGTTAGTGCGCCGAGGCTCATGGCGACTGTCAACCCAATCTTTTCTCTCATGTCCAACAGGAGCTTTCTTATAACAAGCCAGGGCAGTAGGGCTAGCACGACGTCGATGACGCCCCCATACACTATTCAGATATCACTTAGCTGCTGCTTCCTGCAGACATAGGGGCCATATCACCACGACGAAGGAGGTGATCATACCAATGGTCGTACCGCCGAGGTACTGTGTGTCGCGCAGGCTGAAACACAGGCCTTGTACGGGGCGGTAGATTGCCCTTGCGTCTTCGCAGGCTGGGATCCAGATGGACAGCATGCCGAGAACGAGGACAAGATTGGCCGTCAATATGATGGCCCAGAGAACACCCCTCAAACCAGGGTTCTGCACGATGCGAATCAGGGTGATGGCGAAGGCGACCTTTGTCCAGGCAATCGCTATGGCGCTCATCGATGTCGATGCATGGTGGAAAATGTAAAAGGCGCGCTTGTCGGCGTCGGTCTCATAGCCCGTCGCAAGGGCGCGGCTTAGGAGGATGCAGGCCACGAACAAGATGAACTGCTCGCGCGGATTCATTAACAACCGGATCCCCGTTCCCTCACGTAGATTGATTTCTGAGCTGGGGACACATACCCATGAAGTAGTGAGCACATAGTCGTCCCAAGAGAGCCTTGAAAAGCGTATTCGACACCACACGCGGAAGAACAGGAAGGCTCCTGACGCACAGGTCAGAATCCAAGTGGCGATATTCGTCTTGACAAACTGGGAGTTTCCGTGATCGAACAGGCTGTTCATTGTTGATGTCCCATTACGTTCGAGTGGACAAACTTCCAAAGGAAAGGGTTATTCGGAATCAAGCGTAAGCTGCGAGGAGGCCACTGGTCTTGCTGGACTATGTATGCAAACCCACACATCATCAGAGGAGTCTGGAGACCTGCGATGGCGGTGGTTAACGGGGAGAGCAGACCAGCCGGCATATCTAACGTCGAACGAAAGCCTGGTATCCTGGAACACATCATGGATCGACCCGGGGTAGGGTGCCGACGACGACACCCGACTGCCCACGACTGCGACAACTTCCCCACACCATCATTGGATTGGAGCGGATTGGAGTGACAGAACAGTAGCCCGTACAATTCTAGGGCTTGCGAGGTTTCAAGTGCTAGCCCCAAAAAGTCTAAGCACCTCTCAAAGCTACATGTAAAGACAAGAAGAGGATGGAAGGCACGAACGTCCGCCTTCCTCTAAGTCTGATAATGTCTCGGGGAGCGACGGGAAGGTAGTGTCTGTGCTCCACATGCGTGTATCAAAAATCCCAATTGAACAATCACAACTTCAAGCCGAGGGCAATGCCGCCAGGAGGTCTAAGCTCACGACGGTAACAGCTGTACCTGGTAGTTTCATGCTTCCCAGTCCCCACACTAGCACATCTAGGTACTTGGTACTTGGTACCTTACCTTGGTAATAACTCCGAGCAATGCGAGAACGGGCAGCTCAGAGCACAAAGCTCCCGGTAAAGCATTGTGTATGCTGAGCAAATCGAGAAACAGATTTGCATGTGCAAATTAAGGCGCGGGGTAAAGGCACTGGCGGGAGTAGATCCTCCATGCTCTTGGGCCTTGGCTTCAGTTGTTACATGAGGTGTACTCTCACTTACTCCTAGGAGTCTAAGGTGACACATCAAGTTTCAACAAGTGAACATTGAAGCCCTCAAATTCAAACGTGCGCCGGAAAAGGTCGGTATGAGTTGCCGCTAGAGGCTTGCCTAATAGCATATACGGTTTACATGAACTTACTTGCCTCATATACGAGTAGGACTTCAGCTGGACTTCACGCGGGATCTATCATCTCGGTGGTGTTCAAGTTGACTCAAACTTTCTTACTTCTCGACTTCTCGTACAGGTCCTGCAACCTGATCACGCACTTTTTTATGTCTTGCGGTGTCGCAAGATTCCGACATGATGATGATACATAAGTAACTAACTTAGTTAAGTTACATTGGAAATCTGCAACATCATGTTGCTTTGGCCCAAATAACAATCTCTCTTGGAACCAAGACATTTTCACTCCTTACTCATCAGTCTTATCCTTGGTAACCCATCATACGAAGCTGACAAAGAAACTAACAAGAATAGACACCTACAATCTCAATCAAAGCCTAGGATTGAGATGCGATTTTCAACCCTAACGGCTATCATCTTGACTGTCCCATTTGAAGCGGGTCTGCCTGGTTCTGTTTAGCCTTGTTTACTGCCTACTATTAGTAGTATCGTTAACAGCATACGTTCAGTTTCTCTTCAGGTCCTCACCCCTGAGTTGGCATGGCGGCCCTTTTTCCAATGCCGTTCTTTTCAATTTAACAGGTAGCCATTCCATACTACCTTCTTTCCGTACACAGCACTTCATGAGGTAGAGGTAGTACCATACATGTCAAGTGCCTCAACTACCATGGGCATATGCAAGAAGTTTACCAAGCAAGCTGACGAGAGTAATCTCAAGCACAACTGTCAGCTATGAACGCCGTGATGCTAAGCTGATACTCTGTTGCATGCACCACTTGGCATGATTATTGCTGACAGCCAAGAACCGTGCAGCTGTGTTAACGTCGTCTCGAACGAGGCAATACTCTTGAGCTAGGTTCAAGCATCTCATACGAGACCTGTATGTTGCCTGATGGCTCACGCAGAGCCGTGCGTGGACTCGATGCAGTGGCTGCTGGAAACTCGGGAATGCCGACCAGGATGGTTCGGACATAGGCGGCATTATCAGGTTCACAAACTGTCGAAGTCGAGGAGGATATGAGAGTCGAGGACTCTATTCATGGCTATATATTCAAAGAGACAGAAGCAGGCCCCGTCTCAAATTCTCCTCAGCTTCCACACTCGAACTAGACATCATCCAGTCCCTGACAGTGATCATCACCCATCCGAAAAGCTCTTTCAAAATGAAGTTCTCCATCCTGTCCCTTCTCTCTGTCTTGGCCTCCGCCGCACTCGCGGCTCCAACCGACGCTGCGAGCGACGTAGCCGGCCAGATTGTCAATGATGGAGTCATCCGCCTTAATGTCACGGATCTGCATCCTCCCTCCTCGTAAGACCACTGAGAACCTCCTCCGTCCCTAGTCCATCTCTCCATCCATTTATTCCTCATGTCCATTCCCCTCCAACCCTCCCGCTTTCCCACTTCCTCTCCCCGAGCTCAGTCTCAAAGTCCTCACTCACTCCATCAATCCTTCACCGACTAACCACTCAACCAGCCTAACCCGCCGGCAAAACGGCAACCCCAACACCGAAGCCACCCTTCAAGCCTGGCGCTTCGACGGCAACTGCCAGCCCGGCCCAGGGTTCAATTTCCTTTGGTTTCCCGTCGGGTGGACGGCGGCCAACAACCCTTCCGGGGCCTGTCACGAGTTCTTTGAGAACGGGATCCGCCGCGACGTACTGTCGGTCATGGTGACGGGCACCTGGGGTGGCAACTGCCGCCTGCGCATGTACGAGAACACGGGCTGCACCGGCGGCGTCACCCTGCGGTCTCCTGGCCAGTGCGGCAACAGGGCGGGGAATCCTATTCGGAGTTTTAATGTTGTCTGCTGATTCATGGGGATGAGTGGGGTTGATGGTTATGAGTTCTTCGCCAACCAACCCATCCGCGTGTAGAATGGAAAGTTGTAGGGGGTGAAGGGGGAGCTGCGAAAGGGGGGTTCCATGATGCCAGAATTTGTTGGTTGATGACTGTTTAGAGGGCAATTCAACATTGCCATGTTCGGTCCCTTTAAATTAGTTGTCATATGACAGGAACAATTGCATAACAATTGAACTGGTTCCTAGAATTCACAGTCCTTTCAAGTAGTAGTGCCCAGTAAGATACCTACCCACCTAGCTTCACGGAGACACCACCCCGTTCTTTAACGCACCACTCTTCGCCTGTCCACCGCCGACCGTCGGGTTCCGAGCCAGTCGATTCTCACCATTCTTAATCAAAAACTGCGCCAGCAAAATCTCGTCGCTGCTCCGCACGCGGCGGTCAGGGGTGCCAAAGTACTTTGCCGTGATGGCGTCGTACCCAATGCTCATCTCAAAGTAACCCCGGTAGTACAGATCCTGCCACTGCAGCTCCGGGTTCTGGCTGATCAGCACCTGCGAGGCATTATTGGCGGCCGAAGGCGTGATGTTTGCCCCGGCCGGGCTGTTGCTCGACACAGCCGTCCCCGCAAGCTCGACGCCAAACGCGCCGGCGCCCGTCTTCTCGTCATAGTCCTTCTTGCCCAGCCACGCCAGGTCCGACACCCACGAGGCGTGCGAGTCGCCGGCCAGCATGATGGTGTTGTTGATGCTGTTATCCACCAGGGTCTGGTAGACCCTGTCGCGGTTGGCCAGATAGCCGTCCCACTGGTCGTAGTTGTACGGCGAACTGAAAAGAGTTCCCACCGCCATCCTGCTGAAGACGATTTGGTTGCCCACGACCCTCCAGGCAGCGCCCCGCCGCGACGAGCGCTTCAGCTGGTCGTAGAACCACGCCTCCTGCTTGAAGCCCATGACGGTCCGGTTCTGCAGGTCGACGAGCTTCTCGACCTCGGCCACATTGCCGCTCAGAACCGTTAGGTCGCGGTCGTACTGCCGCGTATCGAGCATCATCAGGTCGAACAGGGTACCGACTGAGAAGCTCCGCCAGATGCGCAGGCTGTCGTCCATCTCGACCTGCCGGATCGGCATCCACTCAAAGTAGGCGCGCACGGCTGCCTGCTTGCGCTTGCGGAAGACGTCGCCCGACGAGTTTTGCGTGCCGTTCTTCCACGCATTGTTGGCCACCTCGTGGTCGTCCCAGACGGGGATCCACGGAAACCGGGCGTGTGAGGCCGAAAGGTCGGGGTCGGTGCGGTAGGTGGCGATACGGGTACGATAGTCATACAGGCTGTAGATTTCTCGGTCCGGTTGCGGGACACGCCCAATGGACGAGGTACTCTTGTACTCGTAGATGTAGTCGCCTAGGTGCAACACGTAGTCGACCGAGTCCTTCCGGACGGGCCCGCCGTAAGCGTTGAAGTAGCCCACGGCTGGATGCGCGTTAATATCACATCTTGATTCTCAATGGGAGATCCAGAACTTACGGTAGTTTGAGCACGAGTAGACAGCAAGGTTGACGTTCTTGTCAACCTTCTGCTGCTTGGCCGGAAGGGTCTTGGTCCGCCCCTGCGGGCTGGTCTTCTTGGAGCCGCAAACATTGAACTGGTAATAGTAGGTTGTGAATGGCTTCAGGTGGTTGGCCTCAAACTATTTCCAGCTTTAGAATTCTTTCCCTCGATGCAGAGCAACTTCTAAGCTTCACCTTGACAGTGTAGTCCACGTCGCTTGTGGTGTAGGCGCGACCTTGGTCAACCACCTTGCAGAAACGTGAATCCGTGGCAATCTTGAACTCGACACAAGCAGCCTTAGAAGAAGGCCGAGCCCCCTCGCGCTCGTCGTAGATGGGTACCACCCCTTTAGGCACTAGGTCGGAAGCGACATTCTCAGACGTCGGCGCCAATCGCGTCCACAGGATCACCGAGTCGGATTCGGGGTCACCAGAAGCGACACCGTGAGTGAAATTGAGCTCATCCGGAGTAAACAGATCTCCGGTCTGACGCTTCGATACATGGGCCAGGGGCACGGCCAAGCTCGGGTGCCGCCTTGAGGGACTGGAGTAAGCCAAGTTATTCTCGTAGGATGCCTCGACGAGTGCGGCGGCGACGAGGGCGCCGAGACCCACGTGGTAGAACATGGCAAGCGACAGACGGCGAAGATGGTTGACTGCGAGAACTCGTCACTCGTGTCCGGGACAGCATGGAGCCGATTGCGATTTATATTTTATCCAAGCATAACATCGAAGAGGGGCCGACCGGCACCATGCAGAAAAGCTGCATGGCATCATCCACCTTGCTAGCCTTGCGTCAGCAACCTCGAGGGATAAAGAAGGGTCTTGACAAGGAGAATGCCACGTGGGGGGTTGTTGGGATTGGCCAATCCCCATATCTGGATTCGCAACATGTCGGCTCATAGACAATCCATTTAGTCGCTCAAAGGTTAGTAGAATCTTGCTCACCAAGATTGTGAGGGGAGCTCGAGGGGAGTCGGGGGACGGATATGCAGCCGAGAATGCCTTATGCAGCGGCACCGCTGCAATACCACCCAACGGAGCGGGATTGCCCCGATGACGAGCGAGGCTGATTCTTGGGCGTATAAGATTTCCATACCGAGCACGTGCCGGGCTTGTGGAATTGTTGTCGTGGAGCAGATCGTCGTCGGTTAGGAACAATGTCACAGTCAACATCTCTACCAAAAGGCTGATTCGATGACGCTATAAAGTCGCGAGGCAGGAAAGAGCATTGAGCTTCGGAAGGCTTGACGGAGCTTCTGACTACGGCTCCTCCCGTCCAGAGCTCCAGTTTCCACTCGGCGACGGGAGGCTTCAAAAGGCTCGCAAAAAGGTGAATCCGTGGAGCTGCATATAAGCAAAGACTGTTCCAGATATGGAGAGACAAAAGTTGGGCGACCCAGGAATCGAACCTGGGTTTCTTCGGATTCGCAGCTGACCACAACGAAGCGTCCTGACCACTAGACTAGTCACCCTCATGGTTTTTTTCTTGGATGAGTTCACGGGGAGGTTCCACCGCCTTGCTGATCTTCCTGAGCCTCAGCTGCAGAATGCTTCCAAGGTTGTGATTTGAAGAGAAACCCTGAGCATCTAACAAGTCGCTGTCCCCCAATTGGCCCAACAACACAACTCTGTCCCTCGCTCTGTCATTTTGGGACGAAATGTATGGCTGCCTTGGCTTCATCCGGAGCTATTTTCTTTGATAGAACACAACTTGCGCTGCCACTCCTTGCCCAGAACTTGGCGTAAAGTATTCTTGGCCACTGGAACAGGGCAGTTCGAAAGGATATCTGCCCAGTTCATCTTCGGGTTCCGTTTGATCATTAGGACTAGGTAGCGCTGTTGACTAGCATTGAGCTTCTTAGGCCGGCCGGTGCGTGCGCGGCTCTCAAAGGTACCGTGGGCCTCAAAGCGTTGACCGTCAGAGCAATAGTCCTGGGACTGCAGTCATATTGTCATGCTAATTCGCGTAGGCTGATCCCCGACTTTCGAGCTTCATATATCGCAGCCCTTTCTGTTGGGCTGAGTTCCTTTCCTTTGACTCGAGCAGTTGTGACGTTGGACATACTGGATTGGTATTCGACACACGCATTTCGGTTAACAATGGCGAAGTTGGTGCAAGTGGCTTGGGTTGGAGGAGCAACTTGCAACCTGAAGTGCAAAAGCACGGTTCAGCGCCACGACGCGAACGCGTTTACGGATAAGTGGGCTAGCTAATGTGGGGAGCGAGGGCAATAAACAAATTTACTAAGATTTGGAGATACCTACTACCGGCATACAGTGTTTTCTCTTCGGTCCAGTAGTAAGGTAAAATAGCAGACAAAATTCAGCGTTTTCAGATGTACCTAGCTCCTGAAAAGGAGAGTGCTAGGCTGGGCGAGGGTGGTTCGGGGAATGCGAGGTTCGTGTAGCTAGCTGGTGACTTGTCAGGCGGTAGCCCTCCATGGCCGCTTCTTCTGTGCCTCACTCGACTCTCGGCGTTCGCCTGTGCAATACCGGTGTATAGCTATACGCAGAATCTCAAGCGCCCCTCCTCTAGGTTCTATTTCCCGGAGTAGGGGTTCTATTTCCCGGAAGGTCCTGTAAGGTAGTCCAGTCTGTTCGCAGTTAGCTGCTGCAGTCCTCAAGTAGGCAGACAGATGCGGAGAACGGGTGAAAGGTGTCAGATAGCGGTTGGACAAGTTTTATCCACATAGTGTTTCGGTACAGGTCTGTGAACATGTGTCTATCATCATCAAAGGGTGAGTGTATGAAGCAGATAAAAGTTGCTTACCGAGGAACATAGATATGCCAATCAACTGGGATGGCATATCTCGTCTGGACCCCGACCGAGGAGCGTCAAGTATCCCCAACGCCTCCTTCAAGATCGACCCGCTGCTTTTTCGCAGCCGACGCGAAGAACGAGTCCATGGTTCTCTGCCGCTTGTCGAACCGGGCACTGCCAATGCCGCCCCGAGTCTTTTTCAAGCCCTCGAGGTGCTTCAGCACGTTGACAGCCACTAGGGAAAGGCTGACACGCGGCTGCCGCTCCTTCTTATCACCAGAAGCCACATCAGCCGCAGCCATCCCCTCCGACTCAACCTCTCCGGGACCATTACCCAGCCCTGGCACAGCCGTGGTAGGGGCCATCGGCTGGTCATCAACCCTAACAACCAGCTCGGCATAGCCGGTATTACTCCATAACACCGGCCTCCCGCCCAACTTGTGTACTTCCCCGGGAGCAAACCTAGCCAGCAACGCAGCAAGCAACTCTCCCAGGATCATGCCATGCGCCACGACCACGACGCAGCACGATCCCTCCTGTTGTCCGCCAGGATTCCGATCCAGATTCAAAAACAGCGGCTCAAGCCAGCCAGTAACAAACCGTTCAGCCCTCATGCGCATCTGCGGCCGCGTTTCAGCAGCGACATCCCCGTCCGCAAGCGACGACACGGTGCCAAATTTCTTGCCCTCCGCCCCGCCAAAGTCGCGCTCGCGCAAATCGGGCAGCTGGACGAGCTCCAGGGGAGTCCCCCTTACATTCTCCTCCTCCGCTTCCACAGCGGTCACGGGCGAAGGTGCAGCGGTGACTGCGCTTCTTCTGGTAGTCTGGACCTGGATGACGGCGTCGACAATGGCCTGGGCCGTCTCCACCGCCCGGCGAAGGTCCGATGAGAAGATGTGCCTGACCCCGCGGGAGGCGAGGTGCGCGCCTAGGCGGCGAGCTTGGAGTACCCCATGGGATGTGAGCGGGGAGTCGCGGGTTCCTGCGCTAATTTAATGGTCAGTGGTTAATCCGAAGCTGGAGTTGGTTGGGTAATGGAAGAATTGAGGATGGGCTTTTTCGGGCGGAAAGAGCGTACTAGATGCCCGCGACATTATCGACTGTTTCGCCGTGGCGGACGAGGAAAAGTAGCATTTCGAAGAATGTCAAGACATCTCCTATTGGATTACGACACGCGCATTGTCGCTGCCGTGGCCGTCTGGCGAACGAGTCGCCACTGCAACATGTGGATTTGGTGCTGTGTTGTGACGAAAGAAATAAAATGTGAACAAAGCCGCTGGATGAAATTTTGTAGGGCTAGCCATGGTGGAGTGGGGCCGCTGCGGTTGGCGGGCCAGCGAGCCCAGGCAGGGGCCTAAACAAACCCAATTCAGGGGCACATCTTCAGCAGAAAGAAATCATGCTTGAACAGTGGCTGTGAGGGTACTTCAATCCAAACGGATGGCAAAACACTATGTGCATATCGCAAGGAAAAGATTCGGTGTCCTGAATACCAGAACAGATCTGCAAACCCGATGCATACAAGCATCGTTAACCACGACAGCAACAGTGCCGAACCCCTCAATAAACCTTGCAGCAGCTTTGCTACTCCTCAATCCTTGATATTGTCCGGATGCCAAGGGCAGTCCTTCTTATGCACAGTATTATCCTTCTTCAAAATCTCCTTATGATCTGCCAGACAGTCCCAGCAAAAGCCGTGGTTGCATATCGTGCCTGTTTCACCTCAACAGCAAAAGCATCAGCATCATGTTCCAGACGGAAGGCAAATACCTGGCAGTACACAGCAGACTTGCTACTGCTCTTCATACATTCTACCGCCGTCCACCCGCGCACCGAATATCGTGGCTACGGGTCCACATGGCGTTGCAGCCCCAGCACCATTGGCACCGACACTTGATACCTGCGGAGGAGACGCGCAAGTTTTAATTGATGTTCCATCGCAACAAGTTCGGCGAAGTTTTCCACTTGAAGTAGTGGCCACTGGGCGTCTCAAAGGGGCAACGGAGGCGTGGGAAAGAGGGCAGGGGGTGGAAGAAAAAAGGATACTGCTTACACGTCATGTGGGCACTTGACAGCCACAAAATATCAGCATCGACACCATGATACTTATGACAGGGTAGACACTCACCACCCCTGGTTTTTCTCGATCGGCGCAGAACACCCGGGACAGGGTTTTGTCGTGGAGCTGACGGTATTCTGACTCGCCTCGTCCTCCCTCTTCCTGCGCGCGGCGAGCTCCCTGGCCTCGCGGGCCTTGCGCTCCCTTTCCTCTCTTTCCTTGCGTTCCCTCTCTTCCCTCTCCTCCCTTCTCTTGCGTTTTCTCCTCTCCCTCTCCTCCGCAGCAGCTCTCTGCTCCTCGGCGAGTAGGCTCTGCGCGTACACGCGGTCGGCGTCCTCCTGGGCTCGGCGCGCCGCCGCCGCCTTCTCGGCCTCCTCGTTGTCGAGATCGAACCGGCTTCGGAAGTTAACGGGGTCCGCCTGCAGCGCGTCGTACTCGTCGCAGCTCAGGTTCTCGTGCCACGCCACCTTGTGCTGGAAGCACGACCGGTGCCCGCACAGCCTGCAGATGACGATCGGTTGTGCCACCCCGCCCAGGTGTACTTGGCCGTACCCGCACCCCGATGTGCACCAGAGGAAGTTCTCGGCTTGTGAGATGGCCGAGCGGAAGGAGAGGGTTTGGTAGCTGCGCGGGGTTGGTGAGGGTCAATTTCATCTGAACGGGGGGACTATGAAGGAAGGGTGGGTATACCGTTCTTTAGTCTCATCGTCGGCAAATCTTTGGACATCGTCATACTCTAGCGTCTCCCGGCACTCGGGGCATCGGATCTCGTTCCAGAGCCTGCTGTTAAGGTCTGTCCTAATTGATGTCGCTACGCAGCCGAGGCATGCTGTGGGGGCGTGATTGCACGTCTTGGTAATGGCTGTTGCCGGAAACTCGGAGACGGGCTTGGTGTCGGTGCAGATGATGCAGGCTCGCGTCCCGCTCAGGACGTCTGGAAGTTTGCGCTGGTTGGTGACGACCACCGAGGCGGACTCCTCAGTTACCTGATAACGTTGTCCGAAACTGGAAAAGGGTCAGCTGAGAGCTGGCAGTCAAGCTTATACTCGGTGAAAGGGGGCATACGCAATGTCGTCCGAGGTGAGGGTAGCGGGAAGATCCGCGGGCAAGGCGCTCCCTTGGGTTTGGAGAAATGCTATGGTCATAGCGTTCTGCCTGTTCTCGATTATGGTTGCGTACGGATTGCTCAAACGACTCGACCCAGGGGGGCTTGTAACCGTACTTCTCCTGGCGTTTCTCTTTAGATGTTGCCTCACCCCATCCCTTCCCCTAACATCCCCTTCATCTGCTGCGGGTCTTATGAGCGGCGACAGCGATGGCGACTTTGCCAGGTGCGTCTCGGATGGGACAGCTTCCTCCTTGGCTGCGAGGCCCGTCCCTCCCTCGGCAGTGCCGGAGCTATCATCGAAACCCTCCAGCAGGGACGGGTTGAATGGCAAGTAACGCCGAGAACTTGAGGTTTGTCCAGGAGCGCCATGCTGTTGACCATTGGAGTCGTCCTTCTCCTCCCCTACAAAACCGGCCAGGATAGCAGGGCTGATGGGCCCGTAAAACGGCCTTGTATAGCCGGCCGTGGATGTCATGGTGTCTGAAACATGTCCTGGTGTTTGGTGAAAACTTGTGAATGCCGGGAAAGCAGTTGGTCTGGGAGAATCGTCGTCAAGTCTTGAGCATTTTGTTCGCGCTGAGGCTGCGAATGGCTGTTAGCCACATGGAGAGCGAGTCAAGCCGTCAACGTCGTGTTGGGCACGGGGAGTTATGGTAGGGCTTCCGCAACGTGTGCCTTGAGAGATAAGACACGATTCTCTAGCCTTCGCCTCGCAATGGCCCGGGGGCTCCTGAACGAGACTGCATAAGACATTGGCACCTTTCGCCAGATGGTATGAGATAGGTGATGCTGGCCGCCTGCCGAACCAGTCTAGAAGTGACGCAAGGTGGAGGAAATGCCAGGATTACATGACCCATGACACGAAAGATGTCAAGGTGTATTTTTGTGGCCAGACGAAAGGAAGTACTCGCCTGAACTTGGAATTTTACCTGGTGTATGTATTGCAAGAAGTACTCAGAGAGCAGGTGCGTTTGTTGTTCTTGACGACTTAACACGTGGGCGATGAAGTGTGTAGAGATTCCTTAACAAAGCTAAGACATGCCGGTTTGACCGAAATGCGACTATTTGCTGGAATGATGAAGGAAAAACTCCGGCCTACCCGCCTATTACTTTCTTCATTGTGTCGCCTACCTGGATTTGAAATGATTAGAAATGAGAGCAGTTCCTGAAAGAGATGCGGAGATGCGAACTGTCTGTCTCACAATTCCCCAGCGGCTGTGAGATGTTAGGGAGGGCTGAGCCGACTTCTGCATTGATGGTGGGGCTGCTGCCAGCTACCTAAGACAGTGGACAGGCGGGTTGCCTGTTTTGGGCTGGGCGATTGTACTCTGCCTTGCCTACCTAACGGTACCTGATGTTTTGTTGGAGGCAAATCAAGCACATGTATTGTACGTACATCAGTACTGGATCATCCCCCTTCGCCATGACCACTGGAGCACGTGTCAGAACTTCAGCTCCTGTTGACTGGCGTGAAATCTTCCCCGTCCTCGCTGGCCAGAGTGTTTACCATTCCCAACCCCAACTGACTGCGCAAAAGCCCAAATACATGAAAGGAGGCATCATAAACCCATCCACGGCTATCTCGATTTACGAAAAGGATGTTGGCCTTTGGGAATCTAAATGAATTATAGACCAATATTTCCGGGAATCCAAAACCCCTTACCAGTACTATACCTTGATTCCCCTTGCTTGGCAGTGTAGCCCCCAAATAGACACAGTTTTCGGGCTCCCAGTCCGTTAGGCCCACGGTATGCCCTTCAAATGGGACCAGACGCTGCCTTCCTGTGCCCGTTCTTGCCTTTCCCGAGGCGGGTAGCAGAGACGATACAGCATGGTGCGTCCTCCCTTGGCAAGAAATCTCTCCCTCTTCTCTTGCGGTCCCCATGCTACAAGCACTTGCTGCATTCGCACTACCGTAGGTTCTCTGATGACATCCCCTTTCCCTATCTGCCGCATGTACAGAGCCGGGACCACGGCAACCACATTCAGCAGCTCCCGGCGCAATTGCTCCCTTGTTGGCACGGGATCTAACTTGCTAACGTTGAACGACTTCCGGTTGTGGAGAATGTTTTCGCACTTCAGATTGGATAGGTTGTCGAAGAAGTCTGGGCTCATTTCTAGCTCCTGACGGGCGTTCCATACAACATAAGGGTTCAGGTCGAGATAAAAATGGTGAGTTGACGTAAGGAGTTTCTCGTGTAACGCCACCGCCGGCTTGATAATGGCTTCTTGACAGCTGTAGTAGAGTTTGCTCATCTCCTTGTCTTTCTTGAAGATTCTGAAAGGGGCTGCAGCCTCCACGGTGAGCTCCTTGATCCGGATTCCTTTTTGCCGCTGGTAGTCGGGAGAGCAGATGAGAGCATTCATCGTTTCAGCTCGCCAAGTCCTCAATGCAAAAAGGTCTGTCATGGTGATCAAAATCAGTATGTTATTACTCAAAAGTATCGTAACACGATCCCTTACCCCTTTTTGGCTCCACGTTCGTCTGCATTGAGCTCTCAATATAGGACAGAACTTCGACAGCGTGCGGAATAGTCTCAAAGAGTACCTTCTGGAATATCCTGTCCTGAAGAAAGCGCATTACAATGGTGATGAGGATATCTATGTCTGTGTCCGGAAACATGCATCCAAAAGCTAGATCGGCATCGCTATGCAGTTTATGCTTGAGGCTCATGGCCTCGTGTGCTTTCTTCTTTGCCACAGCCAGAGCCTCATCTATCTTGTCGTCGTCATCAAGGATGGGTTCAATGAGCTTGGTGACCCAATCGGTGACGTTGTTGACGAGATCGTCAAATTCCTGGCCCACCTCCTCTGGCGTAAGGTCCTTGCGGTAGGGTTGGAGACTGAAGATGTGGGATCGCGCGTCGTCGAGTTCTGCTTTAAGGTCCTTGTTCTCGGCCATCAAGTTTTTGATTGACTCAGGCGAGTCGTCACTGCTAGCCGGCATTTCACTAGGCCGGGCCTTGAGCTGCCGTATCAGGCCCTCGGCTGCCCGCTCTGCTTGGTCGGCCCGATTGTTGGCCTCCCGGAGTTGCTTCAGTAGCTCTCGTTCTGTTCCTTCAGCCCGGCTTCTGGCATCCCGGAGTTGCTTTTGTAGATCTTCCATCTGCCGCCAAAGGGTTTGGTTCTCAGCAGCGCGGGCTTTGTCAGGCTTCTCCGGCCTGTTGGTAGTCGGTGAGCCCGGAGCTTCAGAGGTGGCACGCAGCTCATTGTTTGCATTATTGGTCGAGATGGCTTGGCTGTATGACTTTTTTGGAGGGTCCTCGGACATCGTGCGACTAGCGGAGTCGATTCCAATCTTTTCCGGCCGCTTGGGCGGTTTGCTCTCGTGTATCTGTGTCAATCTGGAGGGCTCGCCCTCATATTCGCGCTTGATGTCCTCCATCTCGGATCTTTGGGACTGAATAGAGGAAATAGAAGCGCGCAAATGCGTCGTCCTTCGCCTAGCCATATCTCAAACGGCAAGAAAGCGACCCAAGAAGCAAACCTCGGGCGGCGGCGGCTGAGTGCGGGGTCTGTGCAAGGGCTGAGAGGCATGTAGGTGTGTATGTACACTACATAGCTATGAACCAGGATCTCGCTCAGAGTGTGCGAGATATATGAACGGGCTGCGTCCATGAGCATCTGAAGCCAAATGCAAACGGCCCGGATGCTGACACCAGTTACGCAACCCTCACCTGCCAGAGTATTGGATACATTACCTCGGCTTGCTTGATATCAGGCAGTGGCACCCAAGTAACTTTGAGTGCGAAGCGACACACTGCACTGCATTGGCTTGGTCATTGTAGACAGCGGCGGGCCTCACATGCAGAGGCCGAGCCCAGCGACCATCAGGCTCCAACGCTGCCTCTGTTTTCGGGCAAAAGATGGAGGTTCTGAATCAATTGGTTGACCGAAGAAGGTTCACGGGCAGGTGCAGCTGAGCTGCTTGGCGGCAGGGATGTTTGCCCAGAGCTGCCCCACATCTCGATCGTGGTTCCACCCATGTGGGGAGAACGCGGCAAGCGTCCCCAACACGCACCCTGAAAGTCTCCACCTGCGGTTTCCCAAGCACTGCCCGCACCTCAGCCTTCTCTCAACACCTCATGAGCTGATTGCCCCGCATCTTGCTGAAACAGCTGGTCTGCTCAGTTTATGGAGCCTATATGATCACTCCCGGGGCACGTACGTGTAGTCGTGTTCTCGTCGGCACTCGGCATCACAAGGACGGAGTTAACATTGAGCGAATCGCGGCGTTGACACTGCCTGCGGGCCTGCAGCCCGGTTAGGCATCTCTCGACGCAAGATGGCGGGCGTGATTGGGGTTGAGCTTGTCCACTGCAATATCCCGGCTCAAGCCTTGAGGACAGGCTGCTACAGAGCTCCAGCTGTTGTGAAGCCGGACAACGGGAACGGCTGAGAAATGCCTTGCCTACACCAATGTTAGTGCCTTAGCCAAGGCACCCGCCTCGTCCAGCTCGTGCTGCCGCGATCGGTACCATATGAGTCGCGGTGTCTATCCTTCAGGTAGGTAAGGTAAGGCATGTATGTATGTACGTGCAATACAATACATACAGGACTCAATCCCATTGCATCTGCCATCCTACCAACTCGAAGCGCCGTCTAGCTTCCCACACCTCAGTCGTCTTCCACCCAACCTTCACATCTCTCCATCACATGCAGGACTCCAGGTTCTTCGCCTAACTTGCTACCTGTCACCTGCCACGGAGCTCAACTTCAACTGCTCCCTTTTCCTGGCTTCGATGCACTCTGACCCTTTTGGTTGACAGACGGTTCTTGACCTTGTTCGATCTCGCCCCAGATGGACTTTGAGCAGCTCTCCATCAACGAACGCAAGATCATCGTCGGCATCGATTTTGGCACCACCTACTCGGGCGTGGCCTGGGCCGAGACACAGAGACCTGATCGCCGAGTCGCCATAACAGCCTGGCCCATATCCAGGACAAACCGCGAGGCAGAGTCCTCGGACAAAGTCCCTACCAAGCTCCGCTACAATGGTGACAGTGTAGAATGGGGCTTCTCAATCCCCGTCCATGCGGCGCCTGACCAAATCATCGAGTGGTTCAAGCTGTTCGTCTCTCCTTCCCCTCTCTGTCCAGCTCCTCTGAGCTCATTGTATGCTCCAGCGACCTTGATCCGTCCCTGCAGTCAATGGGTGCGGCTGTAAAAGGTGCTGCCGCCCGCGGCGGTCGCAATGTCGATCAGCTCGTCACCGACTATATATCAGCCCTTGGAGACCATCTCATGTACACGCTGCGAGAGAAGCTGGGAGAAGGAGTCGTAAAGAGCACCCCGCTCGAGTTTGTTGTCACCGTTCCCGCCATCTGGAGCGATCTGGCCAAGGACAAGACCAAGCAAGCCTGCCAACGAGCGGCTGGGCTTTCGGCTTACAAGTTCCCCATCCACCTCATTTCCGAGCCCGAGGCGGCAGCCATCTATGCTCTCCACGGTCTCGACCCCCATGGCCTCCAGATTGGTGACAGGTGATATCAATCAAGCCAACTTCACTGTCTTGCTCATGTCTGCTGACTAGGCAAAAGCTTCGTAATCTGTGACGCCGGCGGTGGCACCGTCGACCTCATCTCCTACACCATCACGGCCCTCAAGCCTATTCTAGAGGTCCAGGAAGCCACTCCCGGAACAGGGGCACTCTGTGGCTCTACATTTCTCAACATGAGGTTTGCCAAGTTTCTCAAGGCCAAGCTAGGGAATGAAGATGGGTTCGACGACGAGGTTCTTGCCGATGCAATGGAGAAATTCGAAAAGACTGTACGGATCAATATGTGATACCTCAAGGGCAGCGTACAATACTGACTTGCTCATCAGGTCAAACGGTCATTCTCGCTGGATGCGCGCCCTGACGAGACATTTACCATCCCAGTCGGTGGTCTGGCAAACAACAGGGAGCTGGGCATTAGCCGCGGCCGCTATGCGCTCAAAGTATGGAGAATACTCCAATGCTCCCTCCGTGTGCTAATAATCACCTCCTTAGGCTTCTGACGTGCAGGTCATCTTCGAACCGGTCATACAAGAGGTCATCAAGCTGGTCAAGGAACAGATCTCGTCAAGTAAGGTCCCAATCAAGGCAGTTTTGCTGGTGGGCGGGTTCGGCGCGTCCAGCTACCTCAAAGAACGACTCCGCAACTCCATCGACAACAAGATCCGGATCATGCAACCCCCCAACGCGTGGCTTGCCGTCGTCCACGGCGCCGTTATGAAGGGCTTGGCCCTGAGCGCACCAGAGCAGCTCACCATGGTCAAGGTGCAAAACCGCAAGGCGCGCAAACATTACGGCACCGAGTGGCGGACGCGGTACGACGACAAACTACACCACCATCTCCGAAACAAGAAGCACTGGTGCGGGCTCGACGGCTGTTGGAAGGTGTACACCATGGAGTGGTTCATCAAGAAAGGGGACACCGTGTCCGAAAACGAGCCCTTCTTCACCAACTTTGTTTGGACCGGGCCGGTGAGCCAGGGGAGGATCAGGAAAATCAAGATGGACATATACGCCGACCGCACCGCCCGGGACGCGCCAATAGCAAAGGACGAGAACGTCCAGCTGGTGTGCCATGTCGAGGCCGATGTCAGCCATATACCAGAGGGCATGCTGCAAAGGCGTAAGGGTACTGACGGGCAGGTAAGCTGAGCCTATTCTCTCTACTGTCGGCAGAGGAGGCATGCTAATGACATGGTGATTAGTGGTATTACGAATTGAATTGCAAGATTGAAGCCGTCTGTAAGTCCGGACAAATCCCCCCC